AAATAAACATGTTCTTTTTACTAGCCTCTCTTTAAAAATAGGCTCACGTTACTTTTTTTGTTAGCCTGCCTTTTATCCCAACATTTACTGATGCCTCTTTGCCAGGCAATATGTTAAATATTAAATGTGTAAAGATTAATGAATAGAACTTCCCCTACCTGCTCTGCAAAAAGGTTCACAGTATAATCCTATTGTAGGTTTGCATCTTGCTTGGTTGAACTACCAATTTTGGTGTTCTGTATAGTAGGTGGTGACCAACGATATAGTCCTGCTCAGCCTAACACGCATACACTTTAGGAGGATGCCTACTTTTTTAACTTCGCTATGGATTTTTGAGAGGCTAATTTTGAGTATATACTACTTGCCTATTTGTAGGAGGGGGTTTGAGGCAGCTTAAAATCAAGATTTAACACAAATGAATACCATTACGTCCAGAGCCCAACAAAAAAAGTGGATAGCCTTTAAGTGTTAAAGCTCACTGTGATGGCCTTACAAACCTCAGTAATATCAAGCAGAGGGAGACAACCAAATCCAATTAATACTTATTCCAATAAAGTTTAAACTAGCATTTCTTCAAGTATAGTCTGGGAACCCTTAGTGGATTATCCCCAAGACCCTTATAGAAGGGTCGTGAGGGACTTCCCTGGTGGTCCAGTGGGTAAGACTCCATGCTTCCAATGCAGGGGACCCTGGTTTGATCCCGGGTTGGGGAACTAGATCCCACATGCATGCAGCAACTAAGGAGCTGGCATGCTGCAACTAAGGCCCAGTGCAGCCAAAATATATAATATTTTTTAAAAAAGAAGGGCTGTGGGGTTAAAACTATTTTAATAATAAAAAGACATTTGCTTTTTTTCACACAATTGTCAGAAGTGTACAGTGACAGTTTCCAGAGGCCACATGAAATAACCATACTGGAACAGATTGAACATAAGGGCAGAAATGAGAATCCAGCAGAATGTGAAAGTGACACTCTTCTCTAAGTTTCTTGGGGGGAACTACTTTATTTTTTATTAACAGGTTATATTAATATGCTATTAACAGGTTATATTAATATGCAGTAGGTCTCTTATTTTTAAATAGACTAATTTTTTTAACTACAATTTTTTTTAATGTGAAAAATAGTGAAATAAAACCCACAGAAATGAAATCTGGGGCCCTGAGCACCGCTGGTTGAAACCAAAGGATAATTTGAGAACCTATATCAGAAATGCAAATCCAGCCAGTCAGAATGATTTGTCTTCTCACATTGGCCTTTCAGAGCAAATTCTCGCTAAGCTGGGTTTTCTTAATATCTAGGTCGGTATCTCTTCTTGAATGCAATTGCAAATCAGCTGCGGTACCCAAATAGCCACACTCACTACTTCAGCTGCACCATGCTCTACCTTTTTGCAGAGGCCAACACTGAAGCTATCCAAGAACAGATCACAAGGTAAGAGAGGTCTGTTTTTCAGAGGGTTCTAAATGGAGCCTCTTCCCCTTTATTATGAATTCTGAGTGTTTTTTCCCCTATGCATTCCATGTTCACTGAGCATCTTAAATGTGTTAAATAGTTGTGAACGAAATGGGCATGGTTCTGCCCTCCTGCTAATTAGTCTGATGGATGCAAAAAAAATCACAAGTAGAGAATTATTAATCACTGATGAAACAAAAAGTTTTCAACAAAAGGCACAGCATTTTGATAGATCAGTTTTTCTCAGGTGGTGGTGTCAGCATATTTAACCAGTCCTGAAACACCGAGGCCTTTTAAAGGCCATGTTAAAGAACTTAGACTTGTCATTACCTCTGGGTTGGAAGGTTTTAAGCAGGAGAAATAACAGGATCATACGTGTGTTTTACTGACAATAGTTAGGAATCTGTTGCAGATTGCTTGGACTATGTACAGCACTGGAGATCAGGAAATGGGTACATCCTAGTGAGAGAGATATACACAAACTTAAAAAACTGGACCAGACTTGTTAAACTTGCCCCTTCACCTAATAGATTCTGAGCATTAGTATTCCTTAGGTTTAATATACTAAAAATTAACTAGTTTTATTATTAGATGTTTAGATGGTAAAAGCCCTATTTGGTGGACTATATAAAGCTTTAGTGAACTTCCTTGAACTTAAATCTTTGTTCTTGTGCTTTATTACATCCTTAGGGTAAATTTAGAAGTACAATCGGTTAGATCAGGGGATGTGAAGAATTATCCCACCCAATTTACATATGTACTACTAGTAGTAAAATTCTTATTTCCTATTTACTTTCATTGAGTATGTATTCTTCAAGTGATTATCTTCTCTGTGTCATGTAATCTATTATCTATCCTTTACCTTAACTTAGTCTTGTAGGCTCAGTAATGGGAAGAGGAGGGATTCAAACCCATGTTTGTTATGTAATTTCTAGAATCTACCTTCATTTAACCATTCTATAGAAAAGACTTAATCCACCTGCCTTTTGTAAAGCTAACAACTTTTGCATGTAGTGTAATAATCAGGGGAAAAGTGTTAGGAAAAAAGACAAATGGAGAGGTGGTCGTGAATTTGTATGTTTCTCTGTGCATTGACTAACTTTTTCTTCCCTTCTCCAGGGTTCTTTTGGAACGGTTGATTGTAAATAGGCCACATCCTTGGGGTCTTCTTATTACCTTCATTGAGCTGATTAAAAATCCAGCGTTTAAGTTCTGGAACCACGAGTTTGTACACTGTGCCCCAGAAATTGAAAAGTGAGTTAAAAGTAATTTTTAAATTGTTACATTCTTAAGACAGAAGAATGAGAATCATCTGATGGCTCCAGCTTGGGTGGGTGATTAAAGAAGGCCATAGTAACCAAAATTAGTAAGACGCAAGGTTTTAGTCAGGCCTGAAGTTTTCTCACAAACTTGTTAACTGTCTCCATTCTTCAGGTTATTCCAGTCTGTCGCACAGTGCTGCATGGGACAAAAGCAGGCTCAGCAAGTAATGGAAGGGACAGGTGCCAGTTAGATGGAACCACATCTTTGTTGTAAATTTGTCAGCCTGGAGGTCCCACTGTACCAAGTTCATAAACTGGCTGAAGATCCTTTCAGCTCTTCCTGACTTTTCCAGCCCTTTGGTCTCGGGTATCTGCCCCAATTACTGTTTGGGTCAGCTTCCTGTCTACTTGGACACGTTCCAAATTTAAATGCATTTTTTTGACTCCTGGCCAACATTTAGAAGATGCTGTGAATATCATTTTGAACTTGTGTAAATATATGAAAGAGAAAACCTTTGTCTGGAACTTCTTGGGTTTGTGCAAAAATGTGTCCAAGGCAAGTAGATAAACTGGTGGTACCTATTTCCCAGCTTATAAATTGAAGAGGCTGCTGATGCCATGCACTTGTTGGGGGCGGGGGGGCATAGCTCCATGTCATCTGACATTCCTGGTGTCCCAAAGAATAGCAGGAAAGCCAGTTTAAATACTATGTGACTTATTTTTTTTAAATATGGATGGGGACCTTGAAAATCACAGAGTTGTTAAAAAATGTGGATGTGTAGAATTTGGTATGCCAGGAAACATGGGAAGAGTTCACAATTGAGATCCCGTGGATTTTTATTTTGCCTCTTCCCCAAATCTAAAGCTGGCTGTTGGCAGAGCATCATTTTCTCTTTTCTGCTGGAGAACACATCCCCTTGGGCCCTGTGAGACACTTCTTTTTATAAAGGGAAGCCAAACCAGGCCTAAAGTTCCCCCATCTCTCTCCTGATAACTTGTAAACTGTGCCGAAAGGAATCAAATATTATGAATTGCCCTTCCCCATTATCCCAATGAATGGCCATACAGACTAAGCTGAACAACAACAAAGTCAAAAGGACCAATACAGCCCCTTTTGTAAGGATTATGAATGTTTTGTAAATGTATTGGTCCATGTGTTGTATTTTGTAGCCTTCCTAGTTCCTGGGCTTTAGCTTCCCTACTTCTTGTATGTGTATGCATACTGTAGTCGAACATTAAAGTCATGACACACACACGAGTCCACTGTGCCTTTCTCAGTAGCGGCCAGTGCTGGTGGTGAGGAGGAAAGTGGACCACCCAGCCTTCCCATTGGGGCCACTGGGGAACACCAACTTTTGCTGAATGGTAGGTTTTCCCACTACCAATTTGGCATCTTTAAACAAGGAAGTGATTTTTGTGTAGTGGTGTTTGCCTTTTCCTTTCCAACAACAGTGAAAAATTATTGGAGCAGGTTTCTATAATTAAACAATTTCAAAATGCCCATTTAAAAACATCCTTTACCCCCATGGTGTTTCAATATTAACATCTTTATTGGAGTATATAATTGCTTTACAACGTTAGATATAATTTTTAAAAGAAAAGGAGTAGGTATATATTTAAAACTTACCTAATATATACCTTACCTTTCATGACTGTCAAGTTTTATGGCCAGAGAGGACAAAAAGGTTCAAGATTAAATAGTAGAAATCTTACATGGGGACTTGAATGTCATTGATGTCTTAAGGGTGAGTTGTGCCATCTAGGCTGCTTAAGGAATTTAAACAATTGCTCAGAGTCCCAGTGACACAGCTTATTAAATCCTCCGACAGGAAAGAGTTGTTAACTAAGGGAAAGTGACTTTTGTTCAAAATAGACCTGGATTTGAACCAGGTCTACTTTCAAAGTCCATGTTATTAAATGCCAGACTACAACAAAATGTTATCATTATCACATTTCTGCTAACTTTGGATCAAGCTGAGAACCAAAGAGCTATAAAATTTAGTAGTGTTCATAACAATAAGCAGCAGTTCCCACGTCTACTGTTCCCAAATCCTTCAGCATGTCACTTTTTTTTTTTTTTTTTTTTTGCGGTACACGGGCCTCTCACCACTGTGGCCTCTCCCGTTGCGGGGCACAGGCTCTGGACGCAGAGGCCCATCGGCCATGGCTCACGGGCCTAGGCGCTCCACAGCATTTGGGATCTTCCCGGACCGGGGCATGAACCTGTGTCCCCTGCTTCAGCAGGCGGACTCTCAACCACTGTGCCACCAGGGAAGCCCAGCATGTCACTCTTACCTTGGAATTCATCCTAGACAACAGTTTTGCTACTTTTCCTTTTGGTATTTAGTGTGAAATGCAAAACAAAAGGTCCAAATTATCCTTTTCAAGCATCAATGTGTGCCAGCTTAGCAGAAAGTTCTTCTCCTGGACATTCCTTCAGGAAAAAGGGAACCTGCTAATTAGTCAGTTCCAACAATTGGTGTAAGATCATCTTCTGACCATAACGAACCTGTAAGGCTTGCTGTTCCCTCCAGCTGAGTGTGGCGTAGACCTCCTTACTACTGAGTAAATCTTGCTCAGTTTTTAAGTCTGTGGCATAGGTTTGCAGGGTCAACAAAACACTGTCCCGAAGAAGCTGTCTCCATGATGCTTTGAGTTTGGGGATATTTGTGATTGTCAGGCTGTCCTCTTCCCTTTTATCGTCTCCCCATCCATCCTGGTCTTTAAATTCTCTGAACTCCTCAGCAGCCATGCACAGTACCTAGAAGCAACCATGGGGCCCTTTACTTGCGTATTTCCGAAATTGATTTAGAGAAGCCAACCTGTCCTGACAGCATTTAGGTGTCCTCTCCATCCATGCCACCCTTCCTCGCACCTAGATCTAAAATACTTATTTTGAGCATTTACCTTGAGTGTCATGGCCAGTTCCTCTTCTGTCAGCACTTCTTCCCGCCCAATCACAAAGGCTCCCTCTTCCCCTACCATCTCCAGTTTGCATAAGAAATCCCAGCGTTCATACAGTAGGAGCCTTTCAGCTTCAACTTTCGTTCCTGTAGGCAGAAAGTACTGGTGTGAAAGTCAGTATACCCAAGAGCTCATTTCTCCTTAGTCTACAAAAAGGGAGCAACTACTATTGGCAGAGCACCTGGGGCAGGGATGGAGACACACACCAGTGTCCAAGGTTTAATCACTCACCCTGCAACGCTGCTTCACGAACCGTCACCATCTGAATGTCAGCCGTGTCATCCGTGTTGTCAGGATACGGTTCAGTAAAACCATACATGTGAATCAACTGCCAGTTAGCCATTTGCCCATAAGTGTTGAAAATCTCATGGCCTTTAGGAATGGGCTGAGTGGCCACCATCCGAAGACAATTCTGGGGTGGAAGGGAGAAGCTGGGGCCAGGCCCTTCCCAGGCCAGCCTCATGAAGGTTACTTCCCTCCTAGGAGGGTACAGTTCCCTCCAGCAGGTATAGTTCAGTGATGGGACTGACACTATACCTACCAACATTCTACCTTTAGTTCTTGTTAAGATCCTGTACTGCAGAACAAAACTGGTGAGGCTTAAAGGTCAAAGGTCATCCCAATGGTTTAGTAGGTAATCTTCGCTCAGACATCTCACAAACACTTAAAAAGTTGCTAGCTGGCTTCCCTGGTGACGCAGCGGTTGAGAGTCCGCCTGCCGATGCAGGGGACACGGGTTCCGTACCCTGGTCTGGGAGGATCCCGCGTACCGCAGAGCGGCTGGGCCCGTGAGCCATGGCCGCTGAGCCTGTGCGTATGGAGCCTGTGCTCCGCGGCGGGAGAGGTCACAGCAGTGAGAGGCCCACGTATCGCAAAAAAGAAAAAAGTTGCTAGCTTTGGAGACTTCTCTGGTGGTCCAGTGGTTAAGAATCCACCTTCCAATGCAGGGGACGCAGGTTCAATCCCTGGTGAGGGAACTAAGATCCCACATGCCACGGGGCAACAAAGCCCACACACCACAACTAGAGAGAAGCCTGTGCACAGCAACAAAGAGCCCGCGTGACACAACTAAGACCCGACACAGCCAAAAAGTTGCTAGCTTTACAAAAATGAAGAATTAGGCACTTCCCTGCAGTCCAGTGGTTAAGACTGCTGGGGCCCAGTTTCAGTCCCTGGGCGCGGGGAACTAGGCTCTGTGCAGTGTGGCAAAAATCAAAAACAAAACCCAAAAAAACAAGATCAAAGTAGGAACAGCAAGTGGACACATGCTTTTAAAAGTAATAGCCAGGGACTTCCCTGGTGGCACAGTGGTTAAGAATCTGCCTGCCAATGCAGGGGACACGCGTTCGATCCCTGGTCCGGGAAGATCCTACATGCCATGGAGCAACTAAACCCGTGCACCACAACTACTGAGCCTGCGCTCTAGAGCCCGTAAGCCACAACTACTGAGCCCATCTGCCTAGAGCCCGTCTTCCACAATGAGACGCCCACACACAACGAACAGTAGCCTCCCGCATGCTGCAACTAGAGAAAGCCTGCATGCAGCAACAGACCCAACACAGCCAAAAATAAATTTATTTTAAACAGCCATTTCCTAATTTTTAACCCCATAAACTTAGATCTTTTTTTGCAACTTTCCACTTAGCAAATAGAATTGATACAGCCTTGGCATCATCTTAAACTGGTCTTACGAACATCCCCTCCTGTGAAAAGTATTGACGCTATGGCTGTTCCAGATTGCTGTCCACAGGGCCCGGAAACAATCTTGGCTCACTGGCACTGCACAGAACAACCAACCTATAGAACCAAATCAATGAGGGTGCAAGGTTTATCGGAGGATTAACCCCAGCTTTCTTGGAAGGTTTTGAGATGTTTTCAGTTCAGGCGGTTTCGGTGGAATACGCAAAGTACACAGAGGAGGAGATAATTCCACCTACACATTTTTAGTATGAGGGGAATGGAGTCTGTTTAGCTCAACTGCCAGGCCAGCGTAAGTAACACACCGGTTTGAATCACATGCCCAATCATCAATGCACATAAAAACAAGAACTGGGACAGATCCACTCACTGGAGAGTATTCTAGATTGGCATTGTGATTGGCTAAGTGGTTTAGTACGTCTGCAGCAGGCACCATCAAAGGGGAGTTTGGCTCCTTTTCATCATCCTCCTCTTCCTCCAGTGGTTCCTGAAAGCTACCACAGAGAGAACTTTGCTAAAGCCCAATGCAGGGTGAGAGGCGAGTGGGGTTCACTGTTCTTTCCCTTCTAGTCCCTCAACAGAGTTCTAAAAAAAGGGTCCTTTTTATGGCTCCGCTCACTGACCTGTAGGCCATCACAAGAGCCACGAGCTGGCGGTAGAGTTCCAGAGAGCGAACCCTGGGGCTGAAAAGATCGGGGTGGGCTTCCATGAAGGGCAGCACGATGGAATAATACTCGCTGCGGATGCTGGCCAAATCCTTCTCCACAGCCTCGGGTACGCCGGTGCCCTGCAGCAATCGCCGGCGCTCCTCCTCTGGCCTGCAGTGACACCCCCACCCAGGTTCTTCACACCACCTACCGGGACTAGCGCTTGGAACCCGTGTCCCAAGGGCAGGGCGGTTCGAGCCAGGCTACCTACGGTGCTGCCCCTCCTACGGCTCTCACCAGAACATGGGGTGCTCCAAGCGGCCCAACTCGGGCCACAGCGCAAAGTAGGGGCTCCAGGGCGAGGCCGGGGCCTGCAGCTCGTGCAGCAGCGCCAGCAGCAGCGGCACCCATCCCGACGGGCTCTGCAGCGCGCCTCGCTCTGAGGGAGACCAAGAGGTTAGGGCCCCGGCCGGCCCCGCAGGCCCGCCTCGGCGTCCCACCCCCGCCGGCGTGCCCACCTCGCTCCAGCAGGCCGCTGATTGAGCAGGTGTGCTGCGACAGGAGTGCGGCCCGCGGCACCGCGAACAGCAGCTCCCCGGGCTGCACGCTCTCCCGAGCCACCATGCCGTAGCCGGCCACCGTGCCCTGCCGGCTCACCGCCACCTGAGCAGGGAGAGCGGCCGGTCAGAGTTAGACCGCGCCCGCTTCCCCGCCGCGCCCGCCTCCACCCCGCCCCCCACTCACCTTGGGACTCAGCTCCAGTCCTACCCGCCGGCACCAGCTCAGGAAGCTGGCCACCGGGGCCGGGTCCTCGCTGCCCGCAAGCCCTGCCACCTGAGATAAGCAAGCGCAGTGGCGTTGCCCCGCCCGGAAGAGCTCGCTGGGGGCGGAGAAGACGGCGGCGCGCGCGCGCGGAGAAAGGGCCGGGGTTGGGGGAGGGGATGTGGAGTGCGGCAAATGACCCGCGGCTGGCCGCGCAGCCGCGTGCGGGACGGCGCTGCGGACGGGGAAGCGGCGAGGCGCGGCGGAGAGGGGGGCTCCTGCGCCTGCCGCCACAACTCACCCGCCGGCGCTTCGCCTGGGTCGCCATGGTCCAAGGCCGCGCAGCCCCGCGACTCCGCAGCCCACCGCAGGCGCTTCCGGCGTCCGGGGGCAGGACTCTCAGGGGCGGGGCCTATGTTCCCGCCCCGAAACCACGTGATGTTCGTTTCGGCTTCCACGCGGAAGAAGAGTGAGGGTTTGTTTGCACCTGGTCGTACAAGCCCTGTTGAAAACATCCTTGAGGCCGGGTCTCCCCACTTGGGTTAAGAAAGCGTGCCGCCGGGTGCAGGAAGATGTGTCCCCTTGCCGCCTTGAGCCTGGTCTGAGCCAGGCACAACCCTTCCCAGTCTTGGTCTGTGACAGCTGAGACCCCTGGGGGTAGAAGTCCGGTTGAAGTGCAAAATCCCATTTCTGGATGAGAAGGGAAGGCCTCGCGGGAGGCCGGCTGGGTGCGCAATTAGAGCAGTTTGTGCAAGTGTTGCGGAGTTGTGTGGTCAGGGCGCCCAGAACTACTGATAGAATAGACCCGCTCAGTTTTTCATCTTCTGCGTAGCACATGGAGGGGCTTATTTTTATTTACTTGCTGCTTTAGTTGCTGACACACAGCAGGAACTCAATATCTATTTATTGGATAAATGGCTGAGTAAATGAATCAAACGGTGGTTAAACATGGGGAAATATCATGCCGTTAAATTTAAGGAAATGAGGCAACGAATATAGAGGTTACAGGTCTGGGTTTTGAAGTCAAATACTGTCAAGGCCACCTCCCAGCTTGGCCTCTTATTAAGGCAAATTCAGTTTCCTCAACTGTGAAACTAAGATAATTAGTATCTACCCTATGGAATTAATGTAAGGATTGGTAAGATAATGTGACAAGACATGGAAATACATAGATGGAAATGCCTGTTTTCACTCTGAACGGTCAACCCCACCTAAACCCAAGAAGCACCAGCCTCACCAGCTTAAACATTCTGTCTCTTCCAAAGCTTCTCATGATGGGCATGGCATCACCATACTCAAATTCTTAGTTTCTTTATTAGTTTTTCAGCACAGTTAACTCTTTCTACGTTGACAAGGGTTTTTGTTTTACATTTTGTCATCTCAAAGTCTCATGACATCAGGCACCAGAATACACAAAAGTAGGCTCTTCACTTTGTACAGAGAAGAAAGTAACAAATTCCATTAATAGTTCACTTTGACCAAAGAAGACACAACCTCCAATGGAAAGCCACACGCCGGAGTACCCAATATACATATATATATATATAATGTATAGATATTTATAGATCTCATCTGAAAGAACACGGGAAAAAAAATCCAAGATTCACAGCGCTATCTACAGTAAGAGGGATTAATTCTACCAGCTTTTCAAACAGTCACATTCTATATTCAAAGGAAGCACGTGAGTGAATAGAACTAACAGACACTCCACTGGGCCCTATAATGGCTTAAGCTGACAGAAGGGGGTGATGTGTGCCAAGGAAATGTGGATGCAGGTGTCCCCTCAGCCCCACACACACCCACCCACCCTCCACAGCCCTGCATTTTTCATTGCTCCCCGCCCTCTTCTCTTTTTTACTCGTTTGAGGGCTTGTGGCAACTGATTTAGGCTCAGAGACAAATGGCTTCTGGTTCCTGGGCCAGGAGATTCTACCCAGTAAGGTGGATGAACAGGAAATATATGGCACAGCCCTGGGCTTCAGCTGGCTGGAAGGGGGTGGGGTGTGTGGGGAGCCTTTCTCCTCTGCCTGGCCCTTGTTCACTTCAGGAAACGTTACCTCCCACCCCAGGACCCAGCAAGCCCCAGCCTGGGCCTACTCCAAATGGCTAGGATGGTGATTTGGGACTGCCAAGTCCTGCTATCTTGGGCCAGTTTTCTCCAAATGAACTCTCTCAGTGATGCCTACGTGAAACATTGTAATAGCTTGACTAGAACTCTCCCTAGAAATGTTTCCAGTGGCCTTGGCCATGCTGCTGCTGATTAAGCTGTCCTCCATGGAACCTAGGGGTGAAAAGGGGGTCTCTGGGGGAACTCTATAGGAACTGTGAGCCACCACTGCCTGCTGGATTCCAAAGACAGTCACCACGAAGTTCTCAGAGGCGTACCCAACACTCAAAGGCTATCCCAGCCTTTAACCTCAGCCCTAGTCAGCTCCCTAGAGGCAGAGGACCAGGTGACTTTCTGCCTCAGGGCCTTGGCTCAGAAACGGGACAGGGCCAGGAGGCGGCAGACTGTGGGCTGGGACAGTCTGTGGGGTTCCTGCGTTCAAGGTCCTCTGTGTTCTGTCTTCCTTGGGCAGAGAAACCCCTTTCAGCCCCTACCTGCCTGGCCCTACAGCACCAGAGAGCACCAGGAAAACTGCTGTCTGGTAGAAGCGCCCCCTTGTGGCTACTGTTCAGATGATTGTCACGGGTGCTAAAATCAGAAACAGATGTGCTTGATGGTGGGGCTCGGGGGTGGGAAAGGGGCCTGCAGAGCTCCAGGGCTCCTGCCTGAGTGCTCCCTGCTGCTGTCTCCTGGTTCTCATGCCAGTGCCTGAGCTGGACCCTGCGTTCCTGCTGTCCCAGCACCTACCGTCTCAAAACCCCATCCCACCTTCAAACCTGCCTGCTTTAGGGGGTCAACCCATGCTTTCTTTAATCCAGCATATTATCCTGGATCCTGGCCAGAGAAGGACTCAAAGTCTTCCCTTAGCTAATCTCCTGCCCTGGAGCCCTGCCCTGACCGTGCCTGGGCCTTGGGGAACTGGAAGAGAGGGTGTAAGTCAGGCAAGTTAACGAGGTGAGGGGGGGGAGGGGAGGAGTGAGCCCCTCAAACCATCTGGAGACTGTTCCACTGCAGCATCTAGGACGGATCCCCTCATCTTTGTAAACAAAAGAAAAGTAACCGCATTTCCTCCCCTTCACCCTCGCAAAAATAAACTAAAGGGGAAATGAGCTGCACAAGGATGGCAGTGGGACGTCGATGCAGGTTGGGGGGCAGGTGAGCATCTTCGTGGGACCAGGGGCTTCAACAGGACACCTCCATGGTGTGGTTGACCTGGCCCAGCCCCTCACTGCTCTCTGAGTGGGTGCAGGCCTGCGGGCGGCTGCCGTCCACCGAGCTGGCGCTGGTGAGGGACGAGGTTCGAGAGCGGGCGAGACGGGTCATGCTGGCCGAGGGCACTGCAGACAGAGAGGGCACCGGGGGTGAGGACCAGCAGGCGGGGCTGGGCGCAGGCAGGCGGGAGAAGGATTTACGCAAGCAAAGCGGCCAGCGAGACC